GTTCCCCGTGCTCCCCTGCGCGCGAGGCACCGCTGTGGGGGCTGAGCGGTGCGGGGGCTGCTCCCGTGGTTCCGGTTTCTGGTCTGGAAGGGGAGCTGGAGTGTGTTTACGTGGCGGTAAGGCACAGCCGGGCAGCGGCCGCCCTCGGCGCGTCTCTGTGCGCTGCCAGAGGGGCTGAGTCAAGCCGCGTTTTCTAAAGTCACGGCACCTGTGTCCGGTGAGACGCATCTCACATCCTCTGGGGCACATACGCTCTTTTGTGGGGTTAAGGCTTTTACATAGTGACATAGTGAGGTAAGTACAGTGATATTCTGATCTTGCATTACTTACCCTGAACAGACAATGCTTGCTTCTTTTTTCAGATGATGTGGTCAAGACTGTAGGGGAGGTGTTAAGAGAATTAGGAGCTTAATTAATTTGCATGTGCAATCCAGACACTGTAAGATTTGAAAGTTTAAAAAGCTGAGACCCAGTGGTCAGGCTGATGCTGGGCTCTAAACTGAAAGACTTTAATTGGTAAGTTTGTGTTTTGGGTAATTGACAAAACAAGTATCTCTTTCCACAGGACTACAAGGGCCAAAAATTAGCAGAACAGATTTTTCAAGGAATCATTCTTGTTTCTGCAGTAAGTATACTAGAACTATGGGTGATAACATGAAGGAGTTTATTTTGTTTTCTGATCTTACAGACAGGGTTTTTTTCTGACTGGCTTAACTGGGTCACTAAAAGCTTTAGAAATAATCAGAGGGGCTGTCATGGATTATGACTTCTTTCTTCAATCTTTTACTGTCATTGTTTTCAAAATTGTAGGTCAATAAACTTAGAAAGATGTATGAACTGTGCTTTTGAAAAACCCATGTTTTTTCTACTTACCTTCTCCCCCACTTAATCATGGCATGGGAAATATTGTTCCTTAAAGTTTGATTTCTTTTTTTTTTTTCCCCAGATAATTGGTTTCATCTGTGGATACATCACTGAACAGTTTGAATGGACTGTCTACATAGTCATGGCTGGATTTGCTTTATCATGTTTGGTAAGAGGTTTTTTTTCCCCCCCAACCAACAAAATACATGCACTATTTAACCTGAAATAATTGTTAAATTAAGGGGCTGTCAGCACAGACAAATGTTTGCTATATAATTCAGATTCTTAATACATATCTGTATGTACTTTGATCTGTAGAAAGTGCTTTAAAGCAAGTAAGTGCTTTTTCTCAAATGCTAGTAAGATTTTTGAGAACACTGCAATTAATACTGCTTTTGAATTAGTTTTTCATTTCAGCTAAATGTTACTTTCAAGTCAAGGTGATAGCACTGATAACAGAAAGGACAGTAGCACTTTCTGTGGAGTAGTAGCTTGTCATGAACATTTTGCAGCTGGCCCATGCTGATGGAGGAGAGAGGCTAGAATGCAAAATACAGAGTTACAAGAGTAATTCCTTATTCATGCACATGAGGTGGCCCGTTCCAGTTGGGGCACACCAAATGTGGTTTTACAGGTTTTACCTTTGTGTTCACATAGAACATGATTTGACTAATCACTACATAACACACAGATACTACTGTTTTCAAAAGCCACTATAATTCTATGGCATCATCATCCATCTGCTTCTTTCTTGTTAATGTCCCTGGAGTCAGTCCTGCTGCAGTTACTCATCTGTGATGCCATATAATGGGAGGGTTTCACACAGGTGTCAGAGGGACAAGGATGCTGGTGTCACCTCAGTAGTCCCAGGGTATCTTCTTTTCTTCACTGTGGGTGCTGTTCTCCTCCTTCTTCCAATGAGATAGGATCCTTTAGTCATACTTGCTTAAGTGTGACTATGGAGTATACAATGCAGACATATATATCTCTTTATCATATGAAATTGTATGAACTTTCTTAAGACTAATTGGTACAAAAGTTAGGGAATGAGATTTTCCTAACAAGCTATACAAAACACTTATCTAGCATCTTGATTTACATGTTCTGACTTCATTCCTGTTCTCCAAGCTAACGCTCCCTCCGTGGCCTATGTACCGCCGCAATCCTCTGAAGTGGCTCCCTGTCCAAGAGTCAGGAACAGAAGAAAAGAAGCCAGCAGACAGAAAGCCAAAGAGACATGCTAAAAGCTAAAAAAAAAAAGAAAAAAAAAAGTGTTTCTTCCTGCTGTTACTTTGTTAAATTTTGTTAAACAGATTTCTACTGGGAGATACTTCTTGGCTTAGTGTTTGTTTTTTTTCTTGCGACTTTGTATATTACCCTGAGTACACCAAGAACTGCAGAGAGCATGAAGGCTCTCTAACTTTTGGGTGGAGTTACAGTGAAGTCACTGGAAGGCAGGTGGGGGGGGGGATTAACTTTAGAAGGCTACTGGAGGTCACATCTTGCTCAAGTATTTTAGTAAAAAGGAACACAGCAAAAAATAATATACAGCTGGACTTCTACAATATTTCTAACCATGCATAAAATAAGCCCTCAGTAGTGTCACAGCACCTACCCCCCAGTTCTGAAAAATGCCAAAAACTGGAAAGGTTTCTAGGATATGAGATTGCAAAGTGGCATTTTTTGTTAAAAATAAATTTGCCTGGGTAGAGAAAGTAACATGTTGACTCTACATAAATACAATAGCTCTTGCAACCTTGTAACTTGAATGAGCATCCCGTAAGTGAGAGGCAGCAGGAGCCACAGCTAGTGCACAGTTTTACTACTGACTGTCACGTTAGTCTCCCTTGTAGGTGCTGGAGGTTATGATATTTAAGCCAAAGGCAGGGAAAAATAGGTTGTACATTTCAAATTTTATTTTACAAATTAAATTCCCTTTTCACTTCTTTATCCTTTAAAAAGAACACGTGCATTTTATGTAGTGGTGGTACATGACAATGCCTGGGCACGTGTAGCAACACCATCTAGATGCAAAGAAAGGGAGAAGCTAAGACACGTATTTCTCTAAGTGACCCTGGTCTTGGGCACTTTCCTTCCTAAAAGGAATTAGTATTTGTAAGGCAAAGGGATTTCTCCAGCTGGGACCATGGTAACCATGGCTGTGTTCCTTTCAAACATTTTCAGAATTGTTTTATCCACTTACCAAATACTTTCCACCACCTTGGTGATTGCCTTAGCAATGAGACACAAAAGCAAGAGCTCTGCTTAAAAGCAGTACAGCCACCCCCTTTAGCACTTTAACTTGGCAATTTACAGAACCTGGACAGCTTTTGGTGCTATAAAAATTAGCAATTGTTTCTGCCTGCTAAATTTTCACAACTATTTGATGTAATAGGTTGTAACCTATTACACCATAGCCTTGACACAGATTTTCTTACCATATTTAGTATATGACCACACCAAAAACCTTCTGCTATGACAAATTCAAATCAAAACGTCATTTTTTTCTGACACTCCTTTGTATACAAAACTTGGTATCCATCCCTCTTTGCACCTATAAAAAGCAACTTTTTAAAGTTTAATTAAGAGAATAAAAACTAAACAGCTTCTCTTCTGAGAAAGTAATAGCCCAGTTCACATTTTAACATGAAAAATATTACTACAAACTATAATGTTTTATAACATTTTTTGCAAGTTCACCTCCTTACTCCAGCAAAGGAGGTCAATGGACAAATGTGCTTTGTAAGCTGGTCCAATCTATCAAATGAGCTACAAAAGTCCTTTTCCTTAAGGAAAAAATTCTGTTCAGAACTTCACATTTTCTTCAAGAAATTTCAGATGGCGTGCCTTCGCGCTGTAACTTGCATATTTGTCTCCCATCTGTTCCCGCAACTGCAGCTATTTAGAACACACAAAAAAAGCCCCACAAAATTTATTAACAATGAAAAAAGCAGGAACTACCAAAATATTAAAAAATAAAACTAAACAACAAAGCACTCCACTGAAAGCAGCATATGAAGTTTTTCTTCCCTCTATGTTGTCAAATGGAATAATCTTTGTGGTCTGAAGGCAACCGAGTTCCAAATCCCACCCAACAACTTAAAATATAAATCAGATCTTCACAGGTTATACTTACTCATGCAGTATTTTATTTGTAACCAAGTGTGGTGGGTTAGCCCTTGGCTCGGGGCCAAGCCACACACACCCGCTCACACAATTCCCACCCCC